CCAACTGAGTTCAAATCTGAACTCATGTTGGTGAGGCATCCTGTTTTTGCTCCCTCCCGAGGATAACAGGAGAGGATTGTGATCTGAAACATCCCTAACCAGTTTCCGAACGGTAACCATAGGGAACAAGTCCTCCCAGTCGAAATTCATCAGTACTCTATCCAGTTTCTCAAGGGTAGGATGTTTTTGGTTATTAGTCCACGTATATTTGCCTCCCCCCATATAAATCTCCCGAAGATTTAAAGAACCGATAATGGAATTAAATTTATCCATATAAGGGGATCGGTTCAAGGTCTTGTTCTTTTCACAGCCCTCTCTGAGGATATTAAAGTCACCACCCACTATATATGGGACATGTGTGTGAGCACACATAGATGCTAGTTCTACAAGGAAATCATCTTTATTGTCGCCATGTGCAGCTCCATAGACTGTAATGAGAGCCCAGACACACTTGAGGTTAAAATCATATAGATTGGCTTGCAAGAAAAATCTACCAGGGGTCCAGGATATAATTTCTAAGGTTTCTTTTTTTACACCACAAAGGATCCCCCCTGCCTTGCCAATTGATGGAATCCAATTCCACTCAAAACGGGCCGCAGGATCTATTTTCCTCATACTTTTGGGAGGGAAATTCTTTTTCTTGGTTTCTTGAAGGCATAGGAAATCCAGGGAATGATCTTTTATCATGTCAGAGAAGCAGGTACTCATTCCTTTTTTACCTGCTCCCCTACAATTCCAAAGGATACCATTCATTTAATTACACTAGGTTTTCTCCCCCGTTTGACATTCCTACCAGGAGGCTGGGTAGGGCTGCCATTCTTTTTCTCGGGATCTTTCTTCCCTTTTTGACTTCTAGTAACAGGTCTAGATATGACAATATTAATCTTTCTTTCTCTTTTCTTCCTAGACCTCACTATAGTAAAAGGTTCCTCATCCATCTCATTTTCCTCACTCCATCTCATGTCCAAAGGGGTCTGATCTCCTTTCCCATTAGTTAATAACAGGATATTGTTATTGTTATTAATATTATGTACCTTCTCACTCAAGGAGTCCTTATTTCTGGTTCTTTCCAATTCTCTTAAGATATCAATATTAGCAAAGTCAGAGCCTGGTATCACAACACCCATCTTAACAGCTTTAAGAATGAGAACAGGATCTGATAAGGTATCAAAAGAATTAGTTGTCGATTTATTACCTTCCATGTTCCTCTTTTTTGCCGCCGCAGCAGCCTTGTACTCCACACGCTCCAGCTTACTCTGCACATTCCTCAAGCTGAATCGCAAATTCTCCTCAGTGACTAGAGGGGGTGTGGGAATCACCTCAACATTCATCTCAGGGGACTCCACCCTGTAGTCATTGCTAACTTTCAGCGCTGAATCATGTTGTCCCACTACCTCCACCACCTGTGGTAAGGATTTAACCACGTCAGAATTGGTAAATCTTCAAAGGAACCAGAGTACAGAATTACAGACACATGAAGCTTTCAAAGAACTGAAACTAGTCTTCCATAGAGGAAAAGGAATGGTTCAAATAGTCAGGAGAGTAGTTGGTACACATCTCGGGAGAAAGAGCACTCGAAGCGAATTTTCGATATGTAGTTTGGTATAATGCATATATTTTCTGTCCATGTATTGGGTGTTGGATCAGGTAGTAGTAACAGATCAACATCTCATTATCTCATTCTTCAGTTGACAAGCTCCAAAGTAGTAGTACTGGTGAGATGATAAACTAGTGAAATGTTGAAATGCTTACTCATCAGAGAAAAAGCAATTCACCTGCTGCTACTGCTGGTTGTGGTTCATCAGTGTCCTGGTCATGCTTCAGAGCACCATTGTGCCTGTCGGAGTTGAACCTGTATTGGAAGAAGCAGCAAAAAGGGTTTGAGACCAGCTACCAGTAGTTTATTACAGATCACAACATTCATGGGGATAGAGGGTAGCTCCTTATGCTACAGTCTTCAGACAAGTAATCTTTAGTTCGAGTCACCACTTCCACTTCAATCTCCTCTGCACTGTTGGACGTGTCATTGCACTAAGTGTAAAAAATAGGTTGTCAGACAGGGATTTGTATGAAAAACAAAAATCATCAAAGGTTGTCATTGCGCTGAGTGAGTACTCAGTACCTCACTAATATCTTCCTCTTTGGCTTGGTTTGATCGATGGAGTAGATCTCTCTGCTCTCTCTGCACACAAGAATGGAGCTCTCCTCTCCTCTCACAAGCAGCTGAGGGCTGAGCACCGGAAAACTGAAACCATTAGAAGAAACATGCATAATTATGCGATGCAATGTCTAACATGGCATCCTACTCCTCACAAAAACTAAAGAATTTATATACAGTCACGGGTGTGCGTCGGTATGCAGGGGGCGGTGGAAGACAAGAATGCGCAGAGACTACGATGGAGCAGTACCCCTATGGCGACAATGACCGTAATAGCCAGCTGCCACGGTAATAGGTACGCTAAAACTAGATTCTGTGACGGGCATCTCGAGGTATAGTGCAATGATTCGACAGCTAGGATAACGCGGCCCCGGCGCAGCTGCTCAAAAAATCCGCGTCCAGGTGTCAGAGGACGAGGACCCTGATGTTCAGGATAAGGTGTGGATGAATGAGGTGCGTGAGCTCTCCTATGACATGGAGGACTCCATCGATGACTTCATGCAAAGTGTCAATGATGGAGATACAAAGCCAGATGGATTTTTAGAGAAGATGAAGAATTCATTGGGGAAGATGAAGGCTCGTCGCCGGATCGGCAATGAGATCGAAGATCTGAAGAAACAGATGATCGAGTGGCGGAGAGGAATGAAAGGTACAAGGCCCGTGAGGCTTTCTCCAAGGCCAAGAATACAACCGTTGACCCTAGAGCCCTTGCTATCTTTCAGCATGCTTCCGAACTTGTCGGAATTGATGAACCCAAGGTTGAGGTAATTAAATTGTTGACACAAGGTGCGTCAACACAAGAGAAAATGAACTTGGTATCCATTGTTGGATCTGGGGGAATGGGAAAGACAACTCTTGCAAATCAAGTGTATCAAGATCTCAAAGGGAAATTTAAATGTCAGGCCTTCTTATCCGTGTCAAGGAATCCAGATATGATGAATATCCTAAGGACTATTCTTAGTGAAGTTAGTGGGAAAGATTATGCTAACACCGAAGCAGGAAGTATACAACAACTCATCATCAAGATCACTGATTTCCTGGCAGACAAAAGGTACAATTTCTATTTTTTATCGGATGTCCCCGAAGTATATACTTTATAAAGTTATTTAGATATTTCACATCAAAACCCTCTTGTACCTTTATGTAATATAAAAATTGTTCCACGTAGTTTTATGTCCATTCTTTTTTTCACATCAGTTGGCACAACAAATAATGATCAACTGTTTGTAAGGAAGTTCATGTTGATGCA